ACATTTTGGCATATCTTAGAAAAAATGGATGTATGTGCTTATGTGAAAAAAGTTCAAAATTTTCAAAAATATTCGAAATATATAAAAATATTTAAAATTAAAAAAAGTCACATTTTGTCACAATTTTCAAAATGCTCGAAAATCTAATTTTTTCTAAGTTTTCAAATAATTTCAAAGTATTTTTAACAAATCTAATTTTCGGTGCCGGAAGTTCCAGCAATTTGCCTTAAGGCACCATGCCTTAGTTTTTAGTTTTGAACTCATTCTTGACCTAAATGTACACAATTAGTGTTTATATCGAGAACAATTTTTATCATAAGTTCAAAACAAACGATGCATTCAAATGGCAAGATTACATTCTAATTCGAACATTATAGCGATTTTTTTAACAAATTGCAAATCTATAAAAGAAAAATTTTTTTTTGCTAAATATACATATCAACAAGGAAATAAGTCATCAAGGCACAACTTTCTCTTATCTGACTATTATATTTCCTAAATTGCTAAATACCCGTATTCATATAAACAACACCATAAACGACCCCTAATTCCCCGAAAGTGTTTTTCGTCAAAATCGTCGTATACTACCACTAGCAAGTAAGGGTCCAGACCATAACAAAGCAAAGACCCTCTGGAATAATATAAACTTCAACGAGTATACGGTTAAGTTACTAAATGACATTGCAAGGGCGTACGACGGATGAATGGGCCTCTTCTGCCTCTTCTACTCGAATGTTTTCCATTCTCCCATACAATCTTTAGACCATATGCTTCGGTATGCTAAACCTGCAGGAATGTCCAAGAACTCGACTTGTGGGGGTCAGAAAAAATAACGCACTTCAGATGAAGATAATTTGAATACAAAACTAGTGGGGTGTATGGCATCGTGCCTTAAGGCAAATTGCTGGAACTTCCCGTACCGTAACAAAATGTTAGAAGAATACTGAATATTTTCTAATAGATTATTATTAATATTGTAACATTGTCTAATATTTATAGGAATTATATAAACTGAATTGCAAAGTTGAAATTATTTGTTTAAAGTATATTAGAAATATAGTCAGAATTAAAAATAAAATCTGAATTATTTTCAATATACAAAAAAAAATTGTTTTGAAAAAAAAAGTTGAAACAAATTATTTTTTGTCCAAAATCAATTATTTTGTTAAGACAAGCAGAAAGTTCTTTGAATCATTCAAATCGGCCGCTTAGTTCTCTTAAAAACTGCCATTTTTTATATATTGAGCTCCGTATCTTTGAAATGGCTGGGCCTGCCTTTGCCAAAAACTAACAAACACTTCTCCCAATAATTACTAATTGAATGTTTTTTAGATCATTCAAATCGGATACTCCGTTCTTTCAAAAACTCGATTTCTATTTTCTGCACTCTTTGCTTCGTATCTCCTAATCGGCTGGACCTGCCTTTGCCCAAAACTAATCAGCTCTTTTCCCTATCTATAGGAATCGAATGTTTTTTGAACCATTCAAATCGGTTGATCCGTGCGCCCGAAAACGTGACTGGAAATTTGTATCCATACATACATACACACACACATCCATTTTTTCTGAGGTATGCCAAAATGTTCAGAAATAATCAAAACGTCGAGAAATGTAAAAAATTTCAATTTCGATTTTCGGCCCATTACAATAACTTACCCTACGGGAAGTTAATAAGAATTAAGAGAAAGGGGTAGAAAAATCTTCATGTAATTTCGTACTTGCAATTAAACATATTTCGTCAAAGATAGTTCCCTTTTTTGAATTGACAAGGAACTTCTTTTATATCACGTGTTTTATCACTTAATCTTGTATTCGATTAAATTTTAGACGATAAATTTCACATAGATGTAATACTTGAGTTTGCTACCCTGCGGTGTTTACACTTACATGTATTCTAGATTACCAACATGTAAGATTACGTAAATTTTTCAGCGAAATCATATTTATTAGAATATGAGTCAAATTAGTTTTATAGGATTATTTTTTATATATGAAGAAAAATTGGAAAAATCCAAATTCTTTTTGGTGTCAATTAAAAATCGTACGCTAGTCAAATTTAGGACGCCTCAAGATTTTTTAGTTACCGAGAATTTAGTTTTATAGTAATATTGCCTATGAACCTAGTTATAAACTGAATGAATCATATATAAATAGAGAAGTTGAAAGAATCAAAATATTTTTTTGTGTCAAACTTCTTGCAATTAAAAATCATATGCTATCCATATTTTGGATAATCCAATAGTTACCGTAGGACTCTTATAATTTTAAATTACGATATTAATTCAAGAAGTATTTTTTATAGATAATTATATATAAGTATGCTTTAAGCAGATATCATGTTATTTCAGTTAGAATAAATTGAAAACTTAGTTTAAATTGTATATTATAAATAAATATATAAAGTATTGAGGAAGTAAATACGATTTGTCAAAAAATATGTGTAGTCCAGAAAATACTACAAATTTTCAAGCAATGCTCATTAAAATTATTTTTTACTTTATATTTTAATTCGCGAATATTTAATTTGAATTCATTCGCAATTAATAAAGAATATATTAGATATTAGATGGTAGTCTTGGATTTGTAAATATTTTGTAGAGCTTCGAATAAAAAATCCAAAAAGTAATAAAAGACACAAAAACGTTTTTAAAAAATCATTTCTTTATATATTTATTTACTGTCGACGTTTCGGAACTTGGTAAGTCAGGACATCTGTCAAGAAACATGATCTTGATAAGATTTAAATCTTAAACAATATATTTTTTGAAAAGTACAAAATGGTGGATTTTTTATATAAAATGAATAAAATTGTGAAAGAAATAACATTACAGAAGTATGACAATATAATCGAAATAAAAATAATAATAATAAATGAGTAGAGTATAATAATAATCAATCACACAGGTAATTAATTCTGTATTTTCTTGACCTCTTTTTAAAACTTTCTAATTTTCTAACATTTCGAATATTTAACTTCCCGAAGAAGAAGTTTATGTTTTTATCAAAAAATCCGATTTGCTAATTTTATGTTTTCTCGACGTTTCAAGCCATTCTGAATCGAATGAGACCGAATTCGGAAAAAGTATGTGTGTGTGTGTATGTATACAGATTTTTTGCCGTAAATCGACGTTTTCTCGAAAACGGCTGGGGCGATTTTAAAAATTTAAAAGCCATTCGATGTATCTCGACGAGGACGATCGGCAGAGACTTTTCTTTATAAATAGCAGAAAAGTGAAAAATTTTTCGTCCACGTTTTAGCCCGAAATTCTGAATCGATTTTGAAAATTCAAAAGCTGTTCGAAAGATATTGGTTGGGAATCGTGTTCATTAGTTTTTGGTAAAGATCGGCCGGGCCGTTTTCTTGTAATAAAGTGTTAAGAAATTTTTTTTCGACGATTTTTATTATTATTTTTTTGACGGTAGATACTATAGTCTTCTAGATCATACTAAAATATTGCGGCCCTACGACAATTGGTTTAACTTTGAAAATTCGTCAAAGTTTGCAATTATTGGTTTGACATTTGTCAAAATTAGACCTTTCACCGACGTTTTCCCTAAAACGTCTGAACCGATTTCAGAAATTTAAAAGCCATTTGATGTATTTCGATGAGGTCTATCGTTTGTCAGTTTTGTGCAACAATCTGCCAAGCCGTTTCTTTGTAATTTAAAAAAAGTGTTAAACTTTTCGTCCACATTTAAGCTCATCCTACCGAACCGATTTTAAAAAATCAAAAACTGTTCGAAAGATATTAGTTTTAGGTGAAAATCTACTGAGCCGTTTTCTTGTAGTTAACTGTTGAAAAAAAAATTAAGCCGATTTTTATGAATTTTTTTTAGCGATATATATCATGGTCTTATAGAACTTACTGTAATATTACGGCCTTACGACAAGTACTTTAATTTTAAAAATTCATCAAAGTTTGAGAAAATGAGTAGTTTTTCTGGCGTTAGCTAAAATTAAAATTAGACGATTTACTTGGTATAACAATATAGTACTTGGTCTTAATAAACATACTAAACCATTAAAATCTTTACGGAAACTGGTTTAAATATGATAATTGTTGATTTTTGAAAAGTTGCTTTTTGAAAATACTGCGAGTTAAAGTGTTCGTTCGTTTTCAATTATGTGTAATATACTTTATTTTTTTTTCATTGATTAAGTCGATTTTTTACACATATTGGGAAGTTCATGTAACTTGCCTCAAGGCTAAATACCAATACCAACTAGTTTGTTATATAATCCACTCATTTATTTTTAATATTTTCATTTTAATTATATTATCATATTTTTGTAATGTTATTTCTTTTACAATTTTATTCATTTTATATAAAAAAATCACCATTATCTACTTTTCTTAAATATATTGTTTGTTTAAATCTTATCAAGATGATGTTTCTTGACAGATGTCCTGAAAATGAAACGTATCTAGTTTCGAAACGTTGTTGCATATAAATTTTATGATAGCATGTATATTCGTATATGAAATAATCATAAATATTAATATGCAAGAAATACTAGGAATCGAGAACCTTACCTTGTGCTCCCCTGTTGAAAGCAGCTGCCCCACCACCTTGAGCTCTTGTTGTGCCAGCGATTTCTTGCTTGCTTTCCGCGAAGTTCTTCAGTCAGCGACTGTAACTCATTTCGTTGGGATATCCCAAACGGAAACCGTTATTTGTGTATTTTTGTTTAGATTACACAGTAGTATATTTCAATATATCTTCATCTTCCTTCTGCAACAATATTAAGTGATTGTTTCAAATATTTTTTAAAATTAAAAAAACGTTTGCGTTTAATATTTTTAAAAAATTGTGATTTTTATTTGTGAACATTGAGTACAAATAAATTTTTCATCTCAGATACTGAATAATCATATTTATGCTGTAAAGTGCCAAAGTGTGTACACCAGTGTTTATAACAAGTGTTCAGTGATGAATTAAAACTATAGCACATACAATTTCTGTTTCCTTCAAAACTACTATTTTTCTAAACTATCATCATGGTACGAAGCTTAACTCAGTGGACGAAAACTTTAAGTTTTCCTGCTAGGATATCTCCTAACAGAGGTTCCAAGGAATGTGTTGTAAATGTTAACCCAGGTTCACCCATTTCTTCCGGAGGAACTCCGTCTCCGCCGCCACCCCCGGAAAGAAAAGGAGCACCTACTCCGCCTCCGAGGCCTATCACAGAAATTAGTCAAATTGTAAGTGGCCAAATTAGAAATTATAATTTTGGAATCAGATCGAGTCATTATTCAATGTAAATATATTTTTTTAATTTTTTTCCAAAAATAGTTTTTGCTTCTAAATCCGATAAATATAAAATATTGTACAAGGCATAGATTTGAGTAATAGTTGAGTTAATGGTGTAATTTTCTGATTACAATTTGTTGTTCTAAGATAAATTATTTTTTAAACTAGTGGTGTATGGCATCGTGCCTTAAGGCAAATTGCTGTAACTTTCCGTACCGTAATTTTAAATTTTTAAGAAAATTGAAAAAAAAACGACTTTTATATATATTTTTTGAAAATTTTGAAAAAATTCATTTTTTTTAGAAAATTTTGAAAAAAATCAATTTTTTTGAAAATTTTGAGTTTTTCGGAAAATTTTGCAATTTTGGAAAATTTTGAAATTCATTTAACTCGGTTGATCCATAGTGTCGAAAATGTTGAGAAAATTTGTTTGAAAGATATAAGAGGCTCTAAACATTATAAATCTATTTATAGAACCCGAAGAATTGAAAACAAAATTTTTACTTATTAAAATCTCTATAAAAAATATCTGATAATTTGATGTGCATATATCTAATGGCATTTTTTTTAACATTTTTGTGGATCTCTACTGGACCTACAAATTTTTATAAAAATTTCATTTCGTCAAACCAAGTGAAATGTTTTTTGAATCATTCAAATCGAACACTCAAAAACTTAATTTCTATTGTTGGGATTTTTTGCCACGTATCTTCGAAACTGCAGAACCTGCCTTTGTTAAAAACTAATCAGCACGTCTCCCATCAATGGGAATCGAAAGTGTTTTGGATCATTCGAATCGGTTTATCTGTGCTTTTGCAATAGTCGACAAAAATTTGTATCCGTACATAGATACACGCATACATCCATTTTTTTAAGGTATGCCAAAATTTTCAGAAACCTTAGAAAAGTAAAGATATGTGAAAATTTTCATTTTCGATTTATTTGCGATTACTATAACTTATCTTACTTTAAGTTAATAATCATTTTTAGTTAAAAAATGTATTACTAAAATACCTTGAATTATTCGTTTATAAAAAAAAAATGTGATTGAAGCAAATAATTTCAAACCCACTTTTTTAATTTAAAAATTTTAAATTATTTATGTAGAAAGATCTATAAATGGAACTGAAGAAAATAATATCAAATGCGTTTCTTAATGTTTTTAAATTAAAAACATCGGAATTTGATCGATTATAAAATCATCAGAGTAGATATATTATTTTTCAAATAAACCTTTTTCGATAAAAAAATCAAGCGTTTGTAACCAAATAGAATAACAAAAAAATGGGACCGAAAAAAATAATTTCAAATGCATTTTTTTATCAAATTTTTCAAATAGTTCGTATAAGAATAATTATAACTGTAACATATAACACAGGAATTTGATCTAAATATTTTTTTTTAAATTATCAGAGTATTATGATTATTTATCAAAGAGCTCTAGAATATTTCCAATGCATTCTTGATGTCTTTAAGTAAGTTAATTAGTCAATTAATGACGTTGATGGTGACAGAATAAACTTTTTAGAATGCATTCAGAACAAGATAACTCGGTAATATATGCTTGGAATCTGGCACAAATGAATCATAATGTAGTGATCGAATGCCAATAAACTCCTACTTTGGTTGTGGATTAAGTATCAACTTTCTTCTCATTTAGAAATGATGATAATAGCTTCTTATTGTATTGATATTATTATTATTATATTGATATTATTAATATTATTATATTGGCCTAGCTTACTTAGAGCATATAGACACCTACAACATTTCATTTTTATATTTTATACCATTTTTATACATATTCTTCTTTTATACAGTTGCTTATTTACAACTAAATTTTTCATTCTTTATTTTGCTTCTAAATCTGCTTCTCTTGCAAATCTTGCTTTTTTTTCTTATTTCTATTGTTTTGTAATTCAAATTAAATGACAATTCTTATGTCAACACAAGGACTCGAACTGAGTACCCTGGCGTGTGAGTCGGGTTTGCCACTGACTGAGCGATTCCCGCCACATTGATATTATTAAAATACGCCTTAATAGTCCATAATAATAGTTTTGAAACATTCTCAGTTAGTGGATAATGAATTTAATGATTTTTTATATCAATCGAAATATTTATGATTATTTTATTGTAATGATATATAACTTAAGCTACGATCAGTTTTGTAGTATTAAATACAAAATTTAATGATATTTCTAAAAATATTAAAAATTCTTAAAGCTTTTTTTACATTTTCTTCACATTAATATTTCTAGAGTGCATAATTCGAATTTTGAATTTGGGAATTTTATTTATTTCATTTTAGCTATCCACAATATTTTTTTGATAAGTAAAAAAAATCCGAAAATCCAATTGTGATTTTTTAAATTTTAATCAGTGATTTTTTAAATTTAGTCAGAGATTTCTAGGACTTTATCGAAAAATACTTCCAGTATTACTGAAAAACTTCTTAATTTTGTTTTCATTTTTCCCATTGCCAATGCCGATGATGGTAATATAACATAAATAATTTCACCTGTCAATTTAATTTTTTAATTTATAATATATTTTAACTTTAATCTTTTTGAAACTTTGTAAAAATATCTTTTAGATACTGTAAAAAATTTCAAAAAAAAATTGCTGAATGATGACACACAACCGTGTCGAAACGTATAAACAAATAGTTCATTAGTTATTGTTTCTTTTATTTCGACGATTGGCTGCAAATTAACAATCAAGAATATGTCTCAACGTCGAACAAAAAAATATAAAAATTATAAACATAAATAATATATTTCATTATAGTTCTTGTATAACTTTAAATATTATAACTTATCTTTTGTGATATCATATTGTGTTTGTTAGGAACAATATTTAAAGAATTATATTAAAATTACAAAATCAAAGCAAATAAATATTGTACCAAGTGAAGTATACCACCATATACATACAAACCTATAATTTACAAGTTTTTATTTAATAATTGAGTGTTGAAAATGTCAATATTGCGTTTACAGTTCGTGTGACTAAAGATTTTTATTATTTTTGTAATTCAGTAGGGTGAATTCTCATGGGAAAACATAGGGGGTTGTAATTAAGACTAATTACACATAGTGGTTGGGAAAAAATAGTCACACCCATTTTCAATGCACCCAGAAATGCATTTTTCGAATATTGCTTTATCTATACATGTTATTGGTTATTTATTTATAATATAAAATAAGGATAAAAATACGTAACTGTGTTTCAGAAAAAAATCCAATATTGTTTCAAATTTCAATTAATAAACATATAATGGTTGTATGAATTTTTGAAAATATTTAATATTTTTCATTTGGCTTGGTACGATATTCTTGCATATTTGGTGCATAAAACACAATAGTATTAGCAATATATTTTTTAATAAATTTGGGCTTTAAAAGGCCTTATTGTAAATGGATTCTGATGAATGGCTTCAGAAACAATCAAATCTTTTAGAAATAATTCTTTACTAATTCTTACTTGTGCAATATTTTTAAATATTTATTTATTAATATAATAAATGGTATGAAGTTAAAGAAGTTAAAACATGAAGAAAGTATCGAAATCTACTAAGTCGATCTATAAATGTCTATTTGACCGCATATTTCGATTAAAATTTCCCTCAAGAATCCGATCAAGTTCGATCCGATACAATGTTAATATACGTCAATGAATAAAAAATGCCTTCAGCTATTTTTTGTACATTTGCATAGGCTCCCAAAGACCTGGGTCAAATAATAATATATGCTAAGAGGTCTCGGCCGCAAATAAAAATATTACATTAATGGCCCCGAGCCATACGTTCTATCTCGCACAGGAAACATCTTGGTGAATGAAATAAATTCCATAGATTTGATTTAAATTGATTTGTAGATAAATCGTATGACTAATCTTATACTAAACCTTTATAAGTTTTGTTTAGATTTCTCGAAAAATATCTAGATAAATTTACTAGCTTATTGGCTAAATTTTTGGCTTTTTCAAATGTGTAAATTGTCAAATGTTTAAATTTTTGAATATTCAAGGTCAAATACTTGCATTTTCAAATTTTCACATAAAAAACGGGTGTTCCACCTGAGGAATTTCTTGTGGACAATTTATTTCATATAATTTTTTTTTACGTCAACAGACAATTATACCTGTGACATGATTTATGCTTTAAATTCTTATCGTTGAGCCTAGCCCTAGGACGTGGTTTAGCAAACTGTAGTCCCGGGTCGATATCAACCTGAATCTGAATCGGTCGATATCAATCAAATTTGGTCCTTTTTGCCCCACCCACGTGTAAGCTTTCTTAGAGTTTATATAAAAAACTGTTGAATCTGACTTAAAATTAACAATACATCTTATAAAACAATTAAACTAAACGTAATATCTAAACGTATATCTAATAATTATCTTAAGGTCTTGCAAACTAAATAACAGTGCTCACACCCAAAAAACTACAACAATATAAAATACTTTTGTTAAACATTTATAAACATTATCATTTATTTCTCGATAGCAACGTCGTAAGAATCATGGTGAAGGCTGGTTTTACATCTTTTTCCCTCTACTTTCAAATATTGTTGGTAAAAATATCCTAATTCTACTTGTTTTTGAAATATCGATGATGGACTTTTTTAGGATGTTGATGGGTACCCTGCACGAACATCCTAGAAATACATATCTCATGTATAGTCAAAATAAAAAATGAATGGTTGACCGCTGAGTTGTCTTTTAGGAAACACATCTAAGAAAACTAGCTTATAGAACATGTAGATCAGATTGCTGTAGAATTAGAAAAAATAATCTTATATTCAGCTCTACATTGGCTAATTTTCATCGGATGAATATGAGATATTTTATCTATGTGAATATAAAAATCAAGATTCAAATAGAGTTGCAAAATCAAAATGAATATCATAACTGTAATAAAGCATTCTGCAGCACAATTTATTGCAAAACTGCAAAAAGTGATCTTGAATAGATGTGCGCCATTTTTTTAACATAAAAATGAACGGGTGAAATAAACTAATTTTGTATGCTTTAAATTCTTATCTTAGGGCTGGCAATCTTAGTCCTTGGTAAAGTCTAACTTCGGGCAAGTTTGATATCAAGCAGTACAAATGATCTTCCATTCAAAATTTCGCTGGTATTGCTACAACATGTATACACCAACAGTTTTAGATATACATATCTAGTAAAGTCTACACATTCAAGAATGGTTGACCGCTGGTTTGTCCTCTCGAGAAAACAGCTAGGTTAAGATGTACGTTAGAAAAACAGCTTTATACAAGATGTAGTTCTGCTATCTGTTAAAAAAATCTCATTTTATTGGCCAATTTTCATTTATTTTATTGCCAGGGTGCTGTACTATTATAATGGGTAATTATTTTTCCGAAATAAAAATAATTGGGTGAACTAAACAAATATTGTATCTTTTAAATTCTTATATTCCATACCTGACCAATCCCAACTTTGCTCAAGATTGATATCAAGCAGTATGATCAATCTGTTATTCACTTGAGGTTATAGATCTGAAATATGATCTTCCATTGAAAATAGCCTTTTATGGGTATTGCTACAACATATATACACCAACACTTTTAGAAACACATATCTAATAAAGTCTACACATTCAAGAGTGGTTGATCGCTGGGTTGTCCTCTCGAGAAAACATCTAAAAACAGCTTTATATAAGATGTAGTTCTGCTTTCTGTTAAGAAAATCTCATTTTATTGGTCAATTTTCATTCATTTTATTGCTAGAGTGCTGTACTATTATAATGGGTAGATATTTTACCTATATGTATGTATAAATCAAAACTCGAAAAGATTTGCAAAACCATCAATTAATCTCATAACTTCAATAAAGTCTCCAGCGGAGCAATTTATTGCAAAACTGCAACAATCGATCTGACACGTGCGCCCTTTTTCCAAGTAAAGACATCTGCCACAGTCCAGTTCAACTGCACCTGGCTTCTTATTCTTGTGCCTTTTATTCCATAATAAAGCAGCTGCCTACATAACGAACAACGACCTTGCTTCAAGCCGACCGAAACCGTAGCATAAACTTTACTTATTAACATCAAAAATTCAGGTAATGCTCTACTGCATATCGTACCTACTCCAGCCGCAGAATAATGAATATTTATAAATGTTTACTGGCCATATATGGAATATTAATTGGACGAAGAAAAAGTAGAGAGAAAAATCGAAATGCTATATGTAGAAAATAGAAAATGTTTTTACAAAATATGTAAATATCAGTTGAATGAATGTTTAAAATTATTATCAGTCCTGAAAGGTAGATTTTCATACCATTCACTTCTTTAAGAGGTAATTCCGCTCTAGGTCCAAATTACTTGTGCTAGTATTTTTTTATAATTTTTCTGGTGGCATTAAAATTATATTTTCTCAAGAAGTATAATTTAGCTTATATTTAAGTAACAAAATGCTAATAATTTCTAAAATATTGGCACCAGAGTGTGCTTGGGTCACAGTGTGGTGACTACACCCATTATAAGGGTCTAGATTTTGGGGTGCTATGGGCAGATTTGGCGCATATTAATATTTTTGGAATTGGTGAGAATTTTAATTAAATCAATATTAATTAAAATAGGGTAAGTGGTGTTACCCCTTAAGCTAAAAAAGCATAATTAATTTACTGGATATATATTTCACACAAGTGAGGTATTAACTTCCTCTAGGCCCTAGAGTCTCGGGTAAGTTGTAGTAATCTAAAAAAAAATCAAAAATGAGAAATGTCTTTATCAGTCTTTAGGCATATCTTTCAAAGGTTTCTGAACATTTCAAAGGTTTCAAAGGTTTCTGAACATTTTGGCATTTCTTAGAAAAAATGAATGTGTGTGCGGTGCGCGTTTGTGTGTGTATGTTTGAATACAATTTTTTGTACAGGATTTCGGGCGCACGGATCAACCGATTTGAATTCAACAAGCGTTCGATGTGAAAACATGTTGATATAGTTTTTGAGAATGGCAGTTTTAGCCTTGTTTGAAGCTACAGAGCAAAAAGTGCAAAAAATGGAAATTCAGTTTTTGAGAGAACGGAGCAGCCGTTTTGAATGATTCAAAAAACTTTTTGCTTGTATTGACGGAATGAATTTACAGCTTTGAGAAGACAGGTTTAGCGGTTTCGCAGATAGCGGAAGGTTAGAGTTCCATACCAATATGCACTTTCATACTAATAAATATGAATTTATGGTTTCCAAAATATATTTGCTAGTCCGTACCGTAACAAGATTTTCGGGTAAACATTCGAGAAATACAAATAATCAATAATCAAAAGAAATTGTTATCATTTATTGATTGATTACTGATTATTTGTATTTCTCGAATGTTTACCCGGGATTCTTATTGCGGTAGGGAAAGTTCCAGCAATTTGTGTATATTAAGACCCAATACAATGCACGACTAGCAAATATATTTTGAAAACAATAAATTATAGACAACACACCATGTTGTAGTATGACGTTTGTATCTCATGTTTTGTTTTGTAAACTGAATAAATTGCTTAAGAAGAAGTTTGTTATTAATATTATTTCAAATTCTGCCTAATAATAGAAGAACAATAACTTCTTCGAATGGCACATGAAATTTATATCGATAATTTAATTGATATATAAAATTGTATATTTTATTTTTCAATTAAAAGCTACTTGTACCGTATTACTAAAAAGTTCTTGAGAAAGTTCTACTATTAAATGAATACATTATTCCATTGATATTTATAATTGCCTAAATAAATAAAGACATGCCGCTGTGTTAAAGATTGAAAAAGCAACTGTTCTACAATTTTACAATGAATTGGTAATGAATATATTCCCAAGAGAAATATTAGTTTTTATATATTATATAATCCGAAGATACTAATTTTATATGGTGTTGCTTCGTGAGAGCGAGAAGTTACTTGTAAAAGAATTCTATTTCGTATCCATTTGTGGAAATCCATTTTATGCATTTGCTCTTTTATTGTTTTATATGGTTTTTCTTTTCCAGTTTTGCAGTTTTAAAATTGAGTAATAGATTCTTTTAATATTTTTTGACATTATTATAATAGTAAATATTTTACACATTTTTTTAGCGTTGTAATTCTGATACCATAATAATGAATTGAACATGTTCAGCGTTTCCAGTTCTTTTATAAATATTTTTTTGATCAGAATGATCATTAATATGATTATTATTTACATTTCTATTATTAAAATTTTCAATTTGAGAAATATGATCTGTTGACCTCAATAAATTGATGGATGTGTTTCTATATGCATTGTTATATATAAATATGTCTTATTCTTAGCCTAGCATTCATGCGACTGCATTTATTTACTAAACGTTTATGAATTTACAAACAGTTTCTATCACAACGTTTGGTTCACAGCTGTGATATATAGTGTTACATTAAATTTTCATTTTGAGTTTATTTAAATAAATAGATACCATAAGATAGAATAAGACAAACAAAACATTAAGAAATATAATACATCATCTGTTCATCGTCAGCAAGTACAAAACATTAGAACAAATTGCTTAGTAGAAATTCACGATATTAGAAGTGAAATATATGTTTTATAATTTTAATAGCATTATAAAACTTACATTTGTTCACTGTACTACTTTAATCACAATAAATACTTCTGCGGCCAGGTCAAGGTTATATACAGTGTTGTAGCTATTTCATAAAATTTCATAAAATTCCTTCAAAGTTAAAACTAATACTTTGGTTTTGTTTGCTCCCTGGCTGCGGAGCAAAATGGTCCAGGTTACAATGGTGAATAAGCTGGGGATTTTTATGAACATATTTCGATAGTTGCTTATTGTGATGCAGATTATTTGGTTTAGATAGTATAATTACTCAAAGTCAAATTGCTCCTTTATGCCCCCTATGAATAATAAAGGTCTCCTTTTCTGCAAACTATGCAATGGAACTCTATTTTGTATAAAGTTGTAATTTTTACCTATTTATAGCATTTTACTTTATATATCTGACCAGCTTAAAAAAACGTATTTCAAAATCAAAACTTGAATAAAATATATTAAAAAATAAAATATATTAAAATAATTTAAGTAAGATTTTCAACATTTTACGACCTGATGAGTGTAAACCATCTAAAAATTTAATAAGTTTGTAAATATTGTTCCGCGGAAGCCAAACATTTTCTATGCACGTGGAGCATCTAAAAATTTCTTCACACCAAAAAATAATTGCTTTAATTTTCAAATCTTGTTACTGCTCTACTTACTCCTTAGAAGGTTTTTAGAAAATATTGACTAATAAGCACATTAGTATTGTATTTTACGTTTTTAAAAGTGCTTGTTAGTCGGCTGTTAATAAAACAATAGAATGATGGAGTGTTTACAGTACGTGCGCACGGTAATATCAATTAAAACAATTATATGAAGAAATCACGTTATCTTTGATACACAGCAAAATTTGTTCGAAGTTAGAATGTTTAATTCAAGGTAATTTATGTTTCTTCGCAGAATTAATAATATAGTTATTATAGATTATGATAAATTTTCATGGGAAAGTTTTAGATTTAATGTTGGCACAATAAAGAAACTTGCTCAAATTATAAAAAGGTGAGCTTTGTTGTGAAGCAACCAAACGGTAGTCTTATCTTTTTTATTGTCGGAAAAGTGCTACTTTTATTTGTAAACATATTCTCATATTTTTTTATAAATATAAATTCATAAGCTTTCAAACTTGGAGTAAAAATTTTCAATCCAATTGAAGCCAAATAGAATGCTATGAATCTTTTAAAATCAGCACCCTATTAATAAGAATCGACTGTTTCTTAAGTATTTCAAATCGATTGATCCGTGCTCCGGAAATCGTCGACGAAAAATTCAATCCACACATAGACACACACATACACACATGCATTTTTTCTGATGTATGCCAAAACGTTCAGAAACCCTGAAACGTAAAGATATGCAAAAAATTTCAATTACTATTTCTGGACGATAAATGAAACTTCTTGATAAAATTTAAGCCTAAAGTGATCAGCCTTTAAGGTCATGCTATAATTTATCAATTTTCTTGAAAAAAAAATCAAGGTGCTGAAAATTACACAATATATTCCCTATGACGATAAAAGAAATGACATCAATATTTAATATTTTGGTATGTATATCATATCATGAACAATTTTTTCCAAGATTTTTTCTGTCGTGATACTTTAATCCTAGACAAAACATTAAAAACGCGACCTCTGCTTTAATTTTTTTCTTTACTCTACTTATAATTGTACTAAACACATTCTGTGACGGTTTGTCCATGTGAACATCTACATACTGTTATGTTTTTTTGGTGATATTGATTACATAGTAACGAAGAGAGAATTCATTCTTAAAACGCTCAATTTTTTTCAGTTTTTTATTTACATGCCCCAGGGGAACACTCGGATCCCACGCTTCGAACTAATTTGTTCTGCATACTGAGAACGTCAAACATTTGGGCGCGAAAGATTATCGGAAAATATAGATTTGAAATAAAGGCAGACAAAAATTAATGTAACTAACTAATAATTTTACTTACAAGGACAACCTCAGTTTTACTATTCTGAGATTTTGTTAAAACTTTGCATGGCGATAGATTTGATAGTCATATAATATATGCTTCTCATAGGCCTATAATATTTTAAGGTATTCGGTTTGACTATCAAATCTATCGCCATGTGAAGTTTTATTAAAATCACAGAAGAGACAACCGCAGGTTCTCCTTGTTAGGAATGTAATAGATAAACAATTATAAAACCCAAAACTTCCTTTTACAGGATATAATAAATGATGTGAAGATTATCTTTACATTTAATTATTTTTTAGTTAATTATTCTATTTACATTCTAATTTTTCAAATCTGATGAGAAATAAATTGTTTTTTTTTTAATCATAATAATTCAAAACATTAATTGCTTTCCTTGTTATGAAATGTATTAAAAAATCTTTTCCAAAATATTTAATTGGCAAATAATATAGCTTATTAAAAAACAACTTTTCAAATAAATTCAACAAAGAGTTAATTAAAATTTCATTATTAATTTTATGTTTTTCTCTAGTCTTTGTTTATAATATTTATATTTTATAGCGAATAATATTTTCAAGATAACAACAGTATCAATAGCATTTTTGTTTAAATTAATAAATGTTTGTTTATATGAACTGCGATTTGTATAATTATAACGTATTACATTATATATTATACATAATGTATAATTGATCATATTTTTTGTATCAACCAAATTTTACTCGAAAATGATAAGAAACGCAGTAAATTTCCTTAGAATTGCTTCTTATCTCTATAAAATATTTTAAACTGAAAATATAAATATTTTTGGTAATAAATTTAGATATGATTTTCAATTTCGTAAAATTTGGATTTCAAATTCATCAAAATGAATTTTTAATCAAATTTTTGTATCAAACGAAAGTTTTAGGAGCTTATTCTTGTAACAAGTGAATGTTCCCGTATAGCGCCTTAAGCCAAAACCGTTTTGCTGAAACAAAACAAAATAAATATTGACTTCATATCTTGTATTACTATTGGCTATAGCGAAAATCTTTGGATACTACATTTTTCAATAATTATATATTTGGAGATAAGTTAACGACCTGATACTCATTCATTCCTTTGAAAATATATGGAGCATTTTTAATAGGGTAGAGCAGGGCTTAAAGGTGCACAGGTAAAATGGTCCACCACCAATATATAAAAAGCAAGTGAAGTTAGAATTTTTTATCATATTTATATTTAAATATCTGTATATTATAGTAAATTTGCAATATCAAACATATAAGCATTTATATTTACAGGCAATATTGCACAAAATACTTATCAATCTATAATGATTTCCCTATCTGCCGAACGTTTTTTACTTGACCTTTCTCTATTATATCTATTTAACTACTTAATAAAATAAAATTATGGACTGAGATAAATTTAATATGTTTTTAAAGAAAAATATGTCATTTTTCATGAAGATTTACAATTTTAACCCTTTCTACTCGCGAATTCCTAAATTTATATGAATTTTACCGCCGGAGCAGCGGCATCCGAGTGGAAAGGGTTAAACACTGAAATTTTTATGAAAGCTTGGTATAAAATAGATTTTACTAAATAAAATTCATCAGAATAATTGTTCATATTACAATTATTTTATTTTTATATAATTGAATATTGCTTACATATTAGCAAGTATTAGCAAGTATTATAAATTTACTATTTTCTTCTAAAATACTATAATGTTCTACTAAGGAAATTAATTTTACATTTCGAACAATGGACCTTAAATTCAAGCACTTCTATCTCTTTGAAATTTATGGGATATTGAAATTCATTTTAATAACAATAATATTATTATAATTTTTGCAAATATCAAAAGAGCAATATCCCATGATAAATATCCGAAGCATCTAGGTGCGCACTGGCATCATTATAGGGCATTTCTCTCATGAATTCCGTTTCTCGTAGACATAGCACCTGCGACGCATTTTAATAGTTTTATGCAATTTTATTAATTCACTTAATTTTTATTTATTTTTGTGTACATAATGAAGAACAAATCAAATGTTATAGATGATGGCAAAAGTTACTATTTTCTAAGGTTAAAATTTTATCCAAATCTTCAATCACAAATTCAATAACTTACTACATAGTAATTAAAAACTCAACACTACATTAAATATTTTATTTTCGCATCTTTTCTAAATTATTTTTATTTTGTTTTTTTTTACTTAAAATAATTCCAAAAAATATAAAATAATTATAAAATAAAAATAATTCCAACTTGCATATATTATGATACTGAATCATACTCAAAACTGTCAAAATGTCATGCATTTGATGTGCATTCAGGCGTTTTACACATAAACTGCAACGTCACTCGTATGTTATGAAGCTGGGTCAGAAAGACCTTGTTATCTAAGATCGTTTTTTTGGCATTTGTGCGGTTTCTAGGTTAGGTTTTCTATCTGACATCCTGAGAAAAATGTCTGACTGTACAGCAACTACATGGACTTTGCCAAAATTTAGAACGAATTTGTATGAAAAGTTCTTCATAACATAGTCTTGCCATAACATTGGTCTGGTGTGCGGCATAATCGGTTCATTAATGTATCAAACAAAAAATTTTTTTTACCAAAATTCCCTGAATAACACTACTTTTTATGTCACACATTTATGACTGTCATGGCTATGAACGTGTTAATGTAAAAAATCCGAATAAATAAGCTGATACTACCTTAAAACTATTTTTTCGACAAGCTTGTAGAAGCCAAGAAGTTTTCAGATTTAGTTCCTGGCAGACCTAGCTTTTGGAACATATTGCAAATGTATCGTTTGCGTTGGAAGTCTGTGATTGACGTGACCTCTCATCAAATTGAGTATGTAAGACATATATGCCTGACACAGTTCATGTAGAATTAATTAGCGTCAGACACATTTCACTGACATGGCCATAAACGTGTTATAAAAAATCCGAATAAATGAGCTAGATTCTACCCTATGACCCCATATTGAAACACTTTTTTCGATGAACTTGTAGCAAGTCAGGAAATTTTCAGGTTTGGTTCCTGATAGTCCAAGCTTTTGGAACCTATTGCAAATGTATCGTTTGCGTCGGACGTCTGTGATTAACGTGATCTTCCAACAAATCGAGTATGTCAGACATATATTCCTGACACTGCCCATATAGAACTTTTTAGCGTCAGTCACATATAATAAGAATCAATTTAAAAAATCAGAATAGATAAGCTGATTCTACGTTTCCGAGGGAAAAATTAAGAAAAGTCGTTGGCTCTAGGTCTATCATAACTTCTACACCAGCTGAGCAATGAATGTGTTGAATTCGATGTTGATTTTGTTTATTTAGTTCCATCTCTCGCAAACCGGTCTACTAGTGCATGGGAACGTTCGCAATTTCATTACCAACGCCTTGACCGTTCCTGCTTTGACTTTTTGCAATTGCTTTTTAGCAAAAACTATTTTGCGTGATTTTTTATGGAATAGATCATAGAAGTCCCAGAGAAAGCTATTTTATACTTCGCTGGAGTGTGAACAAATTATTGTTTATTTTTATGCAAAGTGATATTGCTTTATAACTGAACGGTAATACTGTATTTTTTGCGAAAATTGGAATGAAAAATTAAAGCTACTATCGCAAGGTGAATCTGTAAAATTAATTATTATTATTCTAGATAATATTAATTATATTTGCCCGCTTGTATAAAATTTGAATTTATATTGCATGACTCTTGAATTTAATAGTAATAAAAGAGTCATGTTATATATTTGAACGTACTATTGACATTAGAGGTTTCTAACCATTTACTCATTAGCATGAAGTATTTAAATTTTATATATGTATTTTATGAATAAGACTTTATGAAGAATAACAGAACTAATGCATTCGTAGACTTACAAATTGTCTGCTAAATGCAAAAATACACATGTAGGTACTTCAGCCTTCACTACCTTTTAGCAAGGCCGGTCTGAGGATAATACCTGAGAAAATGGTCAATGTCGACCAGCAAAGAATTTTTTTAAATTGGAAATATAAATCACATAGATATTTTCAAATCCAATTTGGCTTTTTTATTTTTTTAATTTGCTACTTGAACACTGACAATGATAAATATTTCTGAAGTAAAGCCTGCCACTTCATGGCATTCTCAATTAGGACGTCCATTAATAACGTGAACTATTTTTAAGGATTTTAGAACCTTTTGAAGAAATTTTTAATCAATAATTTTAGATAGGTACATTGATAAAATCAGGTAAAAAATAAATACACCTGATAACTTACTAACTTCGCCTTCATCCCTTGTGGTATTTTGTGATTTTTTGTCACCAAC